TTCAAGTATTCTGATGTATTCAAACTGATCCATGATCCCTGGTATGCGATAAATAGGCCCAACACCGTATTAGAGAAACATCCCTATATCATGATGCTTGCGCAACCATGCTTCACTGTCTTCACAGTGTACTGTGTGCTTGAATTTAGTGTTTGGGGGTCGTCTGACAAACTGTCTCTGGCCACTAGACCCAAAAAAGAACAATCTTACTTTCATCAGTCCACAAAATGTTGCGCCATTTCTCTTTAGGCCAGTCAATGTGCTCTTTGGCAAATTGTAACCTCTTCTCTCATGTCTTTTTTCAACAGTGGGACTTTGCGGGGACTTCTTGCAGATAGCTTGGCTTCACATAGGCGTCTTCTAATTGTAACAGTACTCACAGGTAACTTCAGACCTTCTTTGATCTTCCTGGATCATCTGATTGTTGCCATTTTGTTAGCCATTTTGGCTATTCTTCTATCCATTCAAATGGTAGTTTTTTGCTTTCTTCCACGTCTTTCAGGTTTTGGTTGCCATTTGAAAGCATTTGCGATCATTTTAGCTGAGCAGCCTATGATTTTCTGCACTTTTTTATATGTTTTCCCCTCTCCAATCAACTTTTTAATCAAGGTACGCCGTTCTTCTGAACAATGGCTGGAACAACCCATTTTCCTCAGAATTTCAGAGAGAAATGCACTGTAACCAGCATGTACAACATTTTCTGCCTTCCTTTCTTAAATAAGGGCAATAATTGCCACCTGTTTTTCAAAGAATGAATGACCTCACTAATAGAACTCCACACTGCTATTATTTTGAAACATGCCCCTTTCAATTAGTGATTCAATTACACAGAATCAGCAGCATGCATGTCATGACTGTTGGGTCTGTTGGATTTCTAGTACCCTACTACACCTGCTAGTAACTTATTTGCCATGTAGAAATATCATTTCTACCAAAAACAGTGATTGATCAGGTTAGTGATGTCTGACTGCTATTATTTTGAACCCCACTGTATTTAATTGGTGTTTAATTATTGTCATACACATTTCAGCTTCTTCACCTGCAACCTCTATCAATCAGTCCTGGTCTATGTATTTGTGTTGACTGTGGGTCCTTAGGATTTTTGGTCTCCAGTGTTCTCCTCTGTTACACACCCTTTTTGTTTTCTTTCTCTCATGCTTCACTTTTTCATCTGTTTCTATTTTCTTTTTGTTCCCAGTGAGTTATCTAGCCAAGTTTTATCATCCTCGACTTTCGTTACATGCCCAGACCTCCCCACAACTCCCAGTTTGGACTAATACTAAGTGGTGCTTTACTGTCGCATTCCATGATCTGGGCCAGCATTGTTCTTCCGATCTTATGTTTTACCATTAGTATTGGTAATATGTAAGATTTATAGGATTGTTTTCAGTTTTTTATTTTTGGATATGGGGCTGACTGGTTGACTGTCATTTTGTGCATTTCGTTCTTTTCTTTTTTTGGAACTTTTTTTCATTAATGACCTGGTCTCTCCATAGGCATTGCATTTATGATTGTTCATCTCTCCTGAAGAAATGAACGTTGCTTTACGAAACGCATTAGATTCGGTACAAGATTTTGATTAATGTCAATGTAGTGATTATGTCAATTGTTTTTTCATTTAAATTTGTATTTTATATTCGATGTACTGTGTTTGTTGATCATGATCTATATATTTGTTTTCAATGATTTTATTTGCTCTTGAATAAAATGTAATATTTGTAACTTTTTAAGTGTAACTCAGTAAAGTCCCTCGGGCAGTTCTCTTTTTTTCTATGTACAATCTTTCATTCTATTGTCTCCCCAGCGCAGAAGAAGACCAATTAAATCAATCTGTCAAATCTTTGCAGGCTACTTATCCCTCTTAATTGTCCTGGTGGAGTACTCCCATGGTTCCTTGCAATGACCATTGTCGCACTTCTCCCCGCAATGCATAGTTTCTTATTGCAGCCCTTATTATGTCCATAGTTGTGGTCAATCATCTTTGCTGCACCTATTCCTTTGTTGCTTTCTGCCCAAATGCACTTGCTTTTGTGTCTAATTGGCCTAGTTCATCAAGATGGGATCAATTGGCACAACTGCAGCCACTTTTGCGATCTCCTCTGCTGCTCTGTTGTAGTTCTTGAAGTTTGGGACTAGGGGTACATGTGCATCCACCTGCCCCACATTTATGTTGTGGGAGTGGTCTTCCTACCAGATGTGTTTCCAGACTTCTTTGCCTCCTCATTCCACTTTCCTATTAAATATCTTCTCCTGGACCTCCATATGAGCATCCAAGTTGTCAGACTGTCCAGCAGTGTAGATAGTGACTTTGGAGCAAGTAACCTTCTAAAGTGTCATTACCAAAGCTTTCACCTTTGCACATTGACTGGATCCTCCAAGGACTGTTTTGTTACTTGGATTGTTGGGTACCACTGTTCACTAATGCCCAGACAAGGTGACTGTGGCTGAACCATTAGGCTGAATGACTCTATTTCTATTTTCTGACAGAGACTCAAAAGGTGGAGCCTCTTAAGTGGGATGGCTGCAACACAGGAATTTATTCTTCTGGCTGGCTGCTGGCAAAAGTGACAAGCTCTTCCAGTTGCTATGAAGTTTCTCTGACATCCCCAGCTGCAATACTCCCTCATTCTTGAAGGCACAGCTTCTATTTAAATCTTGTTTCTAGACTACAATTACCCCAGTGGTCAGTTAAATATCTTTCACTAATCCAGCTTTTGGCAGTATAGTATGGATGGTGAATGAGTGCTTTTCTGTAATGGTATGTTACGTGTTTGTGTCTCAGTAGTGCAGACAGACTGTTAACATGTCACCATTTTTATTATTCACACACATTTCCTGTTCCGACACCCTCCACTATCTCTTCACTCTCTCAGTCAACAATGACTATTTTGAATCCTTATGGTGCTAGCATTAGTAAATAAGGGACTGATACCCTAGGCTGTCTGCCCTTGTGCTCTGTATTTGAACAGGTAATTACAGGACTGCAGCACTCTTTTAGCCTGAGCTTGCCTGTCGTCAGCATGCCTGCTTACACCCTAAGGCCATTCACTTCCTCAGCAGCAACATTACCTGTGGTAGCTGTTTCTAGTTTTGGGAACTACCTATTTGAACAGTTACTAGTAACTACAACTTAAGAACAGGGTTCAGAAACTACTACTTAGAACCACTAGAAGTTCCAAAGTAGTAGTTTCCTCTCTCTCTCTGTCAGGAATGGGACTGGCCAGCAATGGTGGGACTCACCTGCCTTTTGATCTGCAGTACCAGGGCTGGTCAGCGGTTGCTCCCAGCAATCAGAGACTCAACCTTTCAGCCAGCTAACACCTGGAACTGATTATACTGGTGTATTTAAGGGATGGCCAGACCTGCAGACTCTGCCTTGGTGTTGTGTTTGTCCTGGGCCCTGTATCTGTCCTGCATCCTGTTTCTGTTCCTTTGCTGACCCTGCCTGATCTGAACCCCTGCTGACTTCTCCTGCTCTGATCCCGGCTCGCTCCTGACCATCCCTCTGCCCTGACCTCTCTGTACCCACGCTGCTTGCTACCTGTTCTGATCCCTGGCTTGTGACCCTGACCATCCCTCTGCCTGACCCTCTGTACTACGCTGCCCGCTACCTGCTGAACCTGGACCTGTGACCCCGACCAATCTCCGCTTGCTCCCCCTGTACCTACCTGCCCTATTGATATTGACCCGGCCTGCCTGACGACGCTTGCTTGTATGTACTGTTATCTGTGGGTGGTTGGTTTGGTTTGTTTGTGCACTGTGTTATGTTTTAGTATTGCACTGCGTTTATGTTTGTATGGTTAGTGTTAAATAAATTACATTGTTTATAACATATCTGAAGTCTCTGCGTTTCCCTGCATCAGTCACACACCTCTGGTCATACCCGGGAGCCCTGACATTACACCAAGGCCAATCCTGACCAGAAGTGGCTGCACAGGGAAGCCATCTTGGCTTGTTGATGGGAAGGATGGATCTGGATGAGGTTGCGTATTTATATCTGCTAGTGTTTGATGACAGGGAGTATGCTTATCAAACTCTGAAGGAGTATCCCGGGATGAACTGCTAGAATGTATACGGCTCACTCATGTTCTAGTAGATCAGGGCACAGAGTTCTCTGAGGTGCAGCCTTTGATTGAGGTTTGTGCTGAGTTGGTTTCATCTGGTACCCCCGAATGCAGGGATGAATTTTTTGCCACCATTTAGTGCAGACCAGGTAGAGTCCCTGGTGTGGTTATTAGAGGATGATGTGGGTTACTTTCTGGAGCGTTATTCCACATGTTCACCACAGACACTAAGAGATTGTATAAACGCAGTGCAGTCATTGACCAGACAGGCTTTGTGTAAGCTCAGCTTTGTTCAACCCATACTGCAGACATGGACAGACTTTTTGCACCCAGCCTCAGTCAACTTACAAAAACCCAGTCCTGCTTCTAATCTATTTCCTCAAAGCTCTATTCCTGCATTCCCAACAGCTCCTCCTGCCCTGCTATCTACCGCATGTCAGTACCCTGTTCCCACTCGCTGCACCTATCCTGCCTTTAACCCTGTAAAAAAGCCCTCTGTAGCAACTGCTCCCTCTCCTGTTCCATCCTCCAGCTCTTCTCTGTCTCCAGCTGCCATTCGTTTACTTGCAGCGTTTACTCCAGTGCTCCAGTTTAAAACCAGAAAAAAGCGAAAATTCTTTCCAACCAATACCATCCTGCCAGTATCCAAACCGTGAACCTGCCTTCCGTGGTTCAGCCTGAAGCCTCTACTCAGCCTGAATCCTCTACTCAGCCTGATGCCTGTACTCAGCCTGATGCCTGTACGCAGCCTGATGCCTCTCTTCAGCCTAAAGCCTCTACTCGGCCTGAAGCCTCTACTCGGCCTGATGCCTCTAACATCGGCCTGATGGACCTCTACTCGGCCTGATGCCTCTACTCGGCCTGAAGCCTGCTACTCGGCCTGAAGCCTCTACTCAGCCTGAAGCCTCTACTCAGCCGGCCGGACGCCGGCATTCAGCCTGATGCCTCTACCCTGCATGATGAACTGATCCAGCCTGACGATCCTATCATGCCAGTTGACTCGAGCCCACTGCCTTGCCAGATGACGCGGTGCTCGCTGTCGAGCCAAATGACTTGATGACTGGTGACCCGATGCCCGCTGTCCAGTCAGACGATCCAATGTCTGACCCCAGTGCCCGCGGTCTCATACCAGTTGACTCGGAGCCCACTGCCTTGCCAGATGACGCGGGTGCCCGCTGGCGAGCCAAATGACCTGATGCCTGGTGACTCAGTACCCGCTGTCATACCTGGTGACCCGATGCCCGCTGTCAAGCCAGACGATCCAATGCCTGGTGACCCCCCGGTGCCCCTGCTGTCGTGCCAATTGACTCAGAGCCTGCTGTCGTACCTGGGGACTTGGTGCCCACTGCCTTGCCAGATGACGCGGTGCCCGCTGGCGAGCCAAATGACCTGATGCCTGTGTGGACCCAGTGCCCGCTGTCATACCTGGTGACCCGATGCCCGCTGTCGAGCCAGACGATCCAATGCCTGGTGACCCGGTGCCCCCCACTGCCTTGCCAGATGACGCGGTGGCCCGCTGGCAAGCCAAATGACCTGATGCCTGGTGACCCAGTGCCCGCTGTCATACCTGGTGACCCGATGCCTGCTGTCGAGCCAGACAATCCGGTACCTGATGACCCGTTGGCCCGCTGTCGTGCCTGTTGACTCGGAGCCCACTGCCTTGCCAGATGACGCGGTGCTCGCTGTCGAGCCAAATGACTTGATGCCTGGTGACCCGATGCCCGCTGTCCAGTCAGACGATCCAATGTCTGCCCCAGTGCCCGCGGTCATATCAGTTGACTCGGAGCCCACTGCCTTGCCAGATGACGCGGTGCCCGCTGTCGAGCCAAAATGACCTGATGCCTGGTGACCCGATGCCGCTGTCCAGCCAGACAATCCAATGTCTGACCCCATGCCTGCGGTCATGCCAGTTGACTCGGAGCCCACACTGTCGTGCCTGGTGACTCGGTGCCTGCCGCTTCGCCTGGGGGCCCGAGACCTGTCGCTCTGCCTGAGGGCCCCGAGACCTGTCGCTCCACCTGGGGGTCCGGGCGCCCCGCCGCTCCGCCTGAGGGCCCGAGACCTGTCGCTCCACCTGGGGGGTCCGGCGCCCGCCGCTCCGCCTGAGGGCCCGAGACCCGTCGCTCCACCTGGGGGTCCGGCGCCCGCCGCTCCGCCTGAGGGTCCGAGACCCGTCGCTCCACCTGGGGGTCCGGCGCCTGTCGCTCCGCCTGACGGGCCCGAGACCAGTCGCTCTTCCGCCTGGGGGTCCGGCGCCCGCCGCTCCGCCTGAGGGCCCGAGACCTGTCGCTCCGCCTGGGGGTCCGGCGCCCGCCGCTCCGCCTAAGGGCCCGAGACCTGTCGCTCCGCCTGGGGGTCCGGCGCCCGCCGCTCCGCCTGGGGGCCCGAGACCTGTCGCTCCGCCGCCTGGGGGTCCGGCGCCCGCCGCTCCGCCTGAGGGCCCGAGACCTGTCGCTGAGTCCGCCTGGGGGCCCGGCGCCCGCCGCTCCACCTAAGGGCCCGAGACCTGTCGCTCCGCCTGGGGGTCCGGCGCCCGCCGCTCCCGCCTGGGGGCCCGAGACCTGTCGCTCCGCCTGGGAGTCCGGCGCCCGCCGCTCCGCCTGAGGGCCCGAGACCTGTCGCTCCGCCTGGGGGTCCGGCGCCCGCCGCTCCCCCTGAGGGCCCGAGACCTGTTGCTCCACCTTGGGGTCCGGCGCCCGCCGCTCCGCTTGAGGGCCCGAGACCTGTCGCTCCGCCTGGGGGTCCGGCGCCCGCTGCTCCGCCTGGGGGCCCGATGCCTGTCGCCCTGCCTGGGGGCCCGATGCCTGTCGCCCGCCTGGGGGCCCGATGCCTGTCGCCCCGCCTGGGGCCGGATGCCTGTCGCTCCGCTTGGTGGCTCGGTGCCTGCTGCTCCGCCTGGTGGCTCGGTGCCTGCTGCTCCGCCTGGTAATCCGATGTGCCTCTCTGCCCGGAGTCCAGCCCGATGTGCCTCCTGCCCGGAGTCCAGCCCGATGCCTGCCTCTGCCCTGAGTCCAGCCCGATGTGCCTCTGCCCGGAGTCCTGCCCGATGTGCCTCTGCCCGGAGTCCAGCCCGATGTGCCTCTGCCCGGAGTCCAGCCCGATGTGCCCTCTGCCCGGAGTCCAGCCCGATGTGCCTCTGCCCGGAGTCCAGCCCGATGTGCCTCTGCCCGGAGTCCAGCCCGATGGCTCGGTGCCTGGCCTGCTGCTCCGCCTGGTGGCTCGGTGGTGCCTGCTGCTCCGCCTGGTGGCTCGGTGCCTGCTGCTCCGCCTTGGTAATCCGATGTGCCTCTGCCCGGAGTCCAGCCCGATGTGCCTCTGCCCGGAGTCCAGCCCGATGTGCCTCTGCCCGGAGTCCTGCCCGATGTGCCTCTGCCCGGAGTCCAGCCCGATGTGCCTCTGCCCGGAGTCCCAGCCCGATGTGCCTCTGCCCGGAGTCCAGCCCGATGTGCCTCTGCCCGGAGTCCTGCCCGATGTGCCTCTGCCCGGAGTCCAGCCCGATGTGCCTCTGCCCGATGTGCCTCTGCCCGGAGTCCAGCCCGATGTGCCTCTGCCTGGTGTGCTCTGCCCGGTGTGCCGCTGCCCCGGAGTCCTGCCCGGTGTGCCAGTCTTTGATATCCCGCCAGTTACCAGACCCGGGCGCGGTGGAACATTTTGCCCAGCTAGGACTGTTTGGAGCGTCCTGAGGCCGCTCCTTGAGGGGGGGGGTTACTGTCAGGAATGGACTGGCCAGCAATGGTGGGACTCGCCTGCCTTTTGATCTGCAGTACCAGGGCTGGCCAGCGGTTGCTCCCAGCAATCAGAGACTCAACCTTTCAGCCAGCTAACACCTGGAACTGATTTATACTGGTGTATTTAAGGGATGGCCAGACCTGCAGACTCTGCCTTGGTGTTGTGTTTGTCCTGGGCCCTGTATCTGTCCTGCATCCTGTTTCTGTTCCTTTGCTGACCCTGCCTGATCTGAACCACTGCTGACTTCTCCTGCTCTGATCCCGGCTCGCTCCTGACCATCCCTCCCCTGCCTGACCCTCTGTACCACGCTGCTTGCTACCTGTTCTGATCCCTGGCTTGTGACCCTGACCATCCCTCTGCCTGACCCTCTGTACTATGCTGCCCCTAACCTGCTGAACCTGGCCTGTGACCCCCGACCAATCTCCGCTTGCTCCCCCTGTACCTACCTGCCCTATTGATATTGACCCCGGCCTGCCTGACGACACTTGCTTGTATGTACTGTTATCTGTGGGTGGTTGGTTTGGTTTGTTTGCACTGTGTTATGTTTTTAGTATTGCACTGCGTTTATGTTTGTATGGTTAGTGTTAATAAATTACATTGTTTATAACATATCTGAAGTCTGCGTTTCCCTGCATCAGTCACACACCTCTGGTCATACCCCGGGAGCCCTGACACTCTCTCTATACATTCAGTCGTATCCGACCCTTGGCAATTGCATGGACCGTCACTTGTAAGCAACTTTTTCCATTAATTCTCTTAGCAATTATTTTACAGGTTGCCAGGTCTTTCCCCAACACCTACTATGCAGGAGATCCTGCGTGGCCAGGGATGAAACTAGGGCAATTTAGACAGAAGCCAATTAACTTAACCGGCATGTCTTTGGAGTGTGGGAGGAAACCAGAGAACCTGGAGAAAACCCATGCAAGCACAGGGAGAAACATGCAAACTCCATGCAGGAGGCGCCATGGTTGGGAATTGAACCCATGATCCATTTACTGCATGGCAGACATGCTAACCACTAAGCCAGTGTGCCGCCCAAAGTAGTAGTTACCAAACACTATTTTAAAGTAGTACTAAACCCTGGAGGTAACCAGGCAGTAACCAAACCCTGTTCTAAAGTTGTAGTTCCCAATAGAAGGATCTACTACTTTAGAACAGGGATTGGTAACTGCTACTTAAGAACTTCTTTGGTAACTACTACTTTTAGAAAACACTGACCAAAAGCTGGTTCACAACAAAACGCAGTGCAGGAAAGGTGTGTCCCATGTGTGTTTTCCGCACTGCATTTGAACATGCTGCCCTTGCAGTCTGCATGTGGGTACCAATGTATTTTTAATGGCACCCCAAACACAGATTGCAAACGCAGTGCCGCTGTACCATGTAGTTTTGGTGCAGTGCGTTTTTGTATGGTCCAGTGCACTACTTTTTGTGTTGTCCGGTGCATTCTACAGCCCATTCAAATGAATGGACTGTCAAAACGCGCTGCTGCATGGGAATGTACGAGAATCACACGAGAGCCCACACATTCCTGTGAAATCTTGTGAGAACCAGTCCTACATTACAAGTCCTAAGTACATTATGCCTTTTTTTTGAGCCTGTGAAAAATTATTTAAATAAATGCACAAGTGCAATAACTTAGTCCTATTAATAAGTACAAGAAGAGTGGTGGAGGGGGAAGGGGATGCCAATGTCACTGCTGCTGCTTTTTATCCCCACAGCACCTGAAAATACAGCCCTCTTTGTAGCTCTTAGCTAGGTATGAATTTTGTATTAAACAGCAGCCATATACACCTCTTTTTACTTAATGTTACTGTACTTGTGCATTTTTGAAAATAACAATTTTTGGGGGTATCCAAAAAAAAGAAGGCATAATGTTCCTACTGGACATGTAGTGAATAGTTACCAATAGCTGTTCTAAAGTAGTTGTTACCAATAGTTACAATAAAAGTTCTTTTTTCCTAGAGTTCAGCTTTAATTAAAAAATTTAGTGGACCCAAAATCCAAAATTGTATGAATTGGGGCTGATCTGCATTCTGAAGCTGAATGCATTGGGGCCGATCTGAGGTCTAAAGGTGTAGAATTTGCGGACTGAAAGTACAAAAATTGGAGCTGATCTGAGAAAGTACAGAAATTGGACCTGATCTAAGATATGAAGGTGCAGAAATTGGACTTGATCTGTGTCGTGAAGGTGCTTGCACTGGAGATCATATGAGACCTGAAAATGCAGAAATTGGGCCTAATCTGAGATCTCGAGGTGCAGAAATTGGGCCTGACATGAGTTCTGAAAGTGCAGAAGTTGAGCCTGATCTGAAGGGTGAATGTGAATGCCCTGGGTCTCACAAAGGATCTGCAGGTGCAGAAATTTGGTTTGATATGAGATCTGAAGAAGCAGTAACTGGGTCTGATCTGAGATGTGAAAGGTGCATGCATTGGGGCTCATATGAGATCTGAAGGTGAACAAACTAGGCCTAATCTGAGATCTGGAGATGCAGAAATTGGGCCTAACCTGAAACTGGAATGTGCAGAATTTGAGTCTGATTTGAGTTCTGAAGGTGCAGAAATTGGGTCTAATCTGAGTCGTGAAGGTGCAGATGTTGGACTTGATGGGAAGTGTAAAAGTGCATGCACTGGAGCTCACATTAGATCTGAAGGTTCAGAAATTGTGTCTGATCTGAAATCTGAAGGAGCAGAAATTGGGCTGATCTGAGGTATGAATGTGCAGAAAATGGGGCTCATATGAGATTTGAAGGTGGAGAAATTGGGCCTGATCTTGGGTGTGAAAGTACATTCATTGGTGCTCATTTGAGATCTGAAGGTTCAGAAATTGGGCCTGATCTGAAGTGGTGAAGGTGCAGAAATTGGGGCTCATATGAGATCTGAAGGTGCAGAAATTGGGCCCTAATTTCAGGCTCACATTGGCTCATAACTGATATAATCCAGAAATATTTAGACAGAATAAGTCCTCATGCACACTTGACGTTTTTTACAGCTGCATTGTTTGGCTTTTGACTTTTTTTTCTACAGCTAGTAAACCCCTAAGCATGTCCATGCACACAAAGACTGTAATCAACGTTTTTTGGCTGGGACATTTTTTGGCTGGAAAAAAACCACAGGACTAGTGGGTTTCTAGAGGAGTTTTTTTAGCTATAAAAACTCTAATGCTGAAAAATTTTATAAAACACCACAAATCTGCGTTTTTGGACATTTTTTTTGACCCCCCCAAAAAAATGTTTTTTTTGTAACAAAATGGAAATGTGGAAGAATGCAGGAAAATGCCGCTAAATGCTAAGAAAAGCTGAAAAACTCACGTTTTTAATGTGACTTTACACAGCTAATGTTACCAGCATTATCAAAACATCCAGTGTGCATGAGGGCTGAAGGTTCATAAAGCACCTGGACTGGAGGACACCCAGGAGTCCTCATGAGAGAATTGAGCTCTGTCATTTCAAAGCCATTGTTTCTCATTTTTAGGGACTCTTTAATGATTGGCATAGTACCACTGGATTGGCATAAGGCCAATGTGGTGTCTATATTTAAAAAGGGATCAAAATCTTTACGAAGTAATTATAGACCTGTTAGTTTAACATTTATAGTTGGGAAGATACTGGAGAGTTTAAGAAAAGACCACATATATGAGTTCTTGCTGGAAAAAAATATTTTAACCACCAACAGACAGCATGGATTCATGAAAGACAGAAGTTGTCAAACAAATCTGATTTCTTTTTATGAGGTGAGCTGAACCTTGGACAGAGGGGTGGCTGTGGATATGGTATACTTGGATTTTGCAAAAGTGTTTTGACTCAGTTCCCCACACACGGCTAGTGTGTAAGGTAAAGTCTACAGGTTTGGAAAAATCGGTATGTAAATGGATATAAAGACCGAATTCAGAGATTAGCGGTTAATGATTCATGGGTTAATGCTAATGGTCTAGGGTTGTTAATGGTCTAGGGTTCTTAGTGGTGTACCCCAAGGTTCAGTGTTGGGACCCTTACTTTTTAATGTATTTATAAACTATATAGGGTCTGGGATTAAAAATACAGTTTCAGTCTTTGCAGATGACACCAAGCTTTGCAGTAACATCCTTACAGGATGTCTCCAACTTACAAGCCGACCTCAATGCACTGTTT